GGGGGGGGGGGGGGGGGGGGGGGGGGGGGGGGGGGGGGGGGGGGGGGGGGGGGGGGGAGAGGTTGACCTCCTCCTCTCCTCCAGCGCTCTCAAGAAGCACGTCGAGATTTATTCATGTACGAGAAAATCGTCAGGCTTCGCGAGAGGAAGCCAACAACCACTTGGAGTGCAAAATCACCTCTAAATCAGCGCATGCGCCGATTTGGTCCAAAGATATCCCCCGAAGAACCCTCATGCACTGGACATCTGTGGCTTTCCGTCTGGACTTGTGCAGGTTGTACAGGGTCACTACTTGCCTGGTGGAGGTAACTGGTAGAGTTAGACCAGTAGAGTTCTCACGTGAAGACATCGGGACAACATTAGCACTCGACTACGACAGTGGCGACAACCACGACGATGAGGACAGCGAGGACGATGACGACAAAAATTTCCAACTACAGCAACGAAGACAACAGAAGCAACAACAGCAGCAACAATAGCGGCAACGATGGCAGCGCCACCGTTCAACGATTACGACGACGACGACGACAGCAACAACGACACGCACCGGCGGGAGGCTCCCCGGCAGCGTCAGGGCAGCACTGCAACGGCGGCGGGGGGGGTTCCTTGCCGTACCTTGGCTTCGGAATGGTCGTATCTTCCTCATCTCTGACGACGCCTGTCACAGGACACAAGCAGGAGACACATGGGGATATGGGATGGCGGGTGTTACGGGCCAGGGTCGATTTCTTGTTGGACGGACACGAGCAGCGCCAAGCTTATGCTTTTACATGTGAGTCACAGTAGACACTTCCTTGTACCCGGCCTCCCTCCCGCAAATCTGACAAGATGCAAGATGCAAAATATCTGAGGAATAAGTTTCCTGCGTGCAGCCTTGTGTTGTTTGTACATGAACATCTATCTCTGAATTTGGGACCGGACCCACACGGTGCTGTTTCCGTTGGACGGGATGGCCCAAGAACTGGGAGGAGGGTGGGACGAAAAACGTGTTGAACACTCGCTCGAAATCGGACAAAGTCATGCTACAAAACACTGCTAGACAGACAACAAGTGCCTAAACGTGCCCGCTGCCTACCTGTCCGATAGAGCAATATACGCCTTTCTATCCGTGCAGTGTTGCTACGTATTGCACTGCACAGACCACCAACCGGCGGCAAGCCGCCTTTTGCATTCGACTTTTGCGTTCCACCACAAGCAGCACGAACACGCAGATTGAGGGGGACACACACACCTGATGTCAATCCTGGGACATCTTCATTTCGCGTGCCCCCCGCGTCCTTAAGCCAGCAGACCATCTCCTTCAACTGCAGGGTCCACTTGAGGCAGCGCCCGTCCCTCACGCAGAGCGATCGACATTCCTTTATACACGCAAAACAAATAGAACCGGTCATCAGAATGCCAAGATGGCATGCGAGACGGAGAGCGAACGATTCCGGGGCAAGGCGCAAGGAACCAGGGCCCGGACCAACCAGGACAGTCACATCCACGCAAGATTTTCGAGCGCGCACTGGTATTCGTGTGGCCACGTGGGCTTGCTAGGCAGCCACAACTGATGCATATTTTTACGTGTACGGGTTGAGACTCTCCCACTCGTAATGTTCTCCCCGCCCCATCCATAGCTTCGACCCCTGAACAAACGCAGATGCCTTGGCCGACCGGGCACGCAGGGGTTACGGGGGGGGGAGGGGGGGGCGAAGCCGCACACCCAGCAAAGAATCCAGCCACGGAATACGAACAAAAGCCAAACGCATGCTTCGACGTGGCGTTATAAAGGGTGGCGTGTTTCACGATATCCGAAACGAAAAGAAACCGCGAGAGTCTCGCACACCTTCTCGTCCTCGACGTTCAAAGGCCCGACTCCTTGTATGTCTCCTCCCTTGTAGTCGACGCTGTGGTAGACGCTTTTCAGCAGCGCAGGTTTTTTTACCGTCGCCGTGGACGGCCTCTCCTTGGGTGTCCGAATCGAACGGAGGGGGGTGGGGGGATGCAGAAGGGGTGGTTGTCGAATTCCTTGGTCTACGTTCACCTCGTCCCCGCCAGCCGCGTCGCCGCCGCCGCCGCCGCCGCCTTCTGAAGGCAGAGAGATCCGCCCTCCACCCTCTCCCATGCCCCTTACCCCCCCCCTGTATTCTTGCGGGGCCACCTCGGTAGGTCGCTTGTTGTCGTCGTTTTTTCGTGGTAGGCGCGTCAACTGGATCACCTGCACAAACATTGAAGGGCGTATAAGTCTTGTGTGCAATTCACCCGTGCATTGTATCAGAAAAGCTGTCTGGGAACATCCTTGGTCGATCTTGGAATTCGGGAACCCCAAAAATCCATTGGAGCTCGACCTTTAGGAGTGCAAACACTGCGGCAAGCAAGGCCGATAGTTGCTTGTTGCGGAATAGGTATACTTCGCGTTTCGAGGAGCTCAAGCTGTATCACTCATGCTATCCCATTCGTCAAAACACAATAGTTCGGCAACGAACGATCACACCAGCATGGCTATGACGCGCTGAGATACCCAGCAGTCAGTGGCCACAAAAGAGGTGCGGGGTTTGGCGACAGGCCCACTCACCAACCCTGCCCAGAAGCTGAGGAGGACCAATACTCCTGCGGAGGCAATCCAGACAAGGGGGGACCCGTTGCGGGACCGTCTTCCTCCAGGGGTACGTCTACCGCAAAACAGGGCAGAGGCAAAGAGAGGGGAGAGACGGAAGATACGAGAGGGAGGTATGGGTGCTTTTCAGCATATGTGAGGCGGTGTTGAACGAGCGAGAGTAAGCACGCCGCCGATGCATCCCAAGGGCAGCGCCAACTTCGACGTCCGACCATCGTTGTCGTCGGAACGCATCGCTACTTTCAAGACTAGTCTACATAGCCTTTGGATGTACGAGGCTACTTTCAGGGCGCATCTGTGCGGTACAGTACGAAACGCCCCCGTCTGCCCTGCCTGATAGTTTCTCATTTCTTGCAAATGGTTGTCTCGCACACTAAACAAGGAGTAAAGAGTACAAGGTTGGTTACACTTTGCCGGCTTCACGAGCGAAGCGAGGTAACCTACCCCCGAACGACTCCCAGAAAGTCCCGGTTCGCTCTGCGTGTAGCCTCTGTCGTGACAAGAACAGCGTGCGCCGTCCACAGGATCTACAACGAATAATCTCCCAGCACACACGTGTACACAGAACCCACGCGCGAACCAACGGACCACAAAACCTCCATCGGGCGCGGAGCAATTCCCGTAGGTAATGTCAAGACTGCTCTAGGCTATGGAAGATAGAATCTCCGCAAACACACTTTTGCTACAGTAGTGAGCGGTGCACCTCGCCAACAGGGTGGTTATTTCGGACGAGGATGAAGCGGTTCGAGGCAGAACATGCGGGGGATTTGGTACAAATCGTCTCTTTTGCACGCAAGAGAGGCCCTGGAGATACGAGTACGGCGGAGAACACGTCTAGTCTTCTCAACATTTGCACCGAGTTTGCATTGTTTTTGGCCAAAGGGGTCAAACACCACAGATACCTGCACATTTGTAGCTGCAGACGCCACCATGCATGCACACACTTCCTTCTACTGACACAATCACACCTGCCCTAACCTGTCAAAATTGCGCAAGATACCACCCTCCCTGAACGGAAGTCAACTCTGCATATTACTCCACGACGATGAGGCTGCTGGAACCAAATCATACGTTTTCGGAAAGCTTGATCCGGCGGTACCAACACCGCCATTCTCGCCACCGTCACTGTTTCTGCTGCCGGGTATCTTCCATAGCTTCGAAAATCCGACCAAGGCGGTGTGGTATCTTACGCAACACCACAGTGTCAACCCTCGTGAGCGTGCAAGCGTATCATAAAGCGCCATTTGGTTGTGCAATCAGCGAATGCTCCACTGCCTCACCGATGATGTCGACGCTGTCTCGCATATCCTCTTCCCATCCTGCGATCCATCCCCTTCTCTACCCATTCCGTGCGAGGAACGCGGCCGGCTGTGGTGCGGAGTTGCGGTGTAATTATGGCGGACGGGGGGGCGCATTTTCATTTGGTACCCCCCCCATCGATTGCCCCCCCACTTCTACAATACACATGAATGTAGCGGGCCAGATTTGCTCAACCCGATCTGCTCTGCAGCTCTGCAGTGACCAATGGGGAGAGCTTAATTGCAATTCTTGTGCGAAGGACACATCGGGCAGTAGATGGATTCGTTGTGTCATGATTGTCGAAGTATTGCTGCAGTCTTCAGAAAATATTTCGCCGAAGAATAATCGATCGCAACCGGGTACACACAGCAGTATTCTACCCCAAATATTGTCTTACAGCCAACTTATCACAGCAGTCCACAGCTGACTCGCTGCAGCCAATACCACTGCCGAGGAGAAACGGCTTGTGGCAAACCTGTGCCATAGGTTACTCGTGGTGAGTTTTGGTGTCTGTGAGGTTTGTTCGTCGCAACATAAACAAGGAATGAATCTACAAGTTACCTACCTGCACAACATCGCGCACCCACGGTTTAGATTTCAGCCGGGGTATGCAGCGTCGATTCAGGTATGCATATAAAGCCTCGATCATCAACCAACACGCCATGACTGCTGCTGACTGCTGCAGTTTAACAGCATTAGAGTACAGCAGCAGTGCACCAGCTTGTAGAGCAAGAGGTTACTTGTTCGCGCTGGGGGGGCTGATGATGATGATGTGTATCTATGTATCTTTTATTATTAGCATCGACCGCATTACCCGGCTGACCAATGACAAGACGTCAGTCTCATGTGTGTGTGGTGGCACAAGTAAGTTTGGCCGCGTCATCTACATGATTCACGCGCTGCATGATGAACACGCCGGGGGGCAAACGGATCGGCGAGGAACCGCCACGAACACAAACCAGGTAGATTGAGTGGGCGGGGGGCGCGGGGGGGGTCGGGGGGGTACTCTTACATTTTGCATGCCTTAGCGGTGAGACCATTGACCACGCGTCCTCGAGAGGATGGAGCATTGTTCCCACAGGACCGATCACCGATGGCCTATCATTCCTTTCTACGTTGTCAAAGGGGACTCGAAAATGTCGTCCGTGTCTATCTGTCCTACCGATATCCCTTCCCGCCTTTTCAACCCACTTGCTATGCCCCAGTACAGCTAACGTCTTCTCCTGGCTATCCCATGTGCCTCAGACATGTCGCTGTACTTTTTTTCTTCTACTTTTCCCAGCTCAGTCATGTACACTTGCCTCTCCTGCTTGTACAGCCGACATTCCCCGACTACATCAACACGGTCTTCTCACTCGGTGCCGCAATCACATTTGAACTTGGCGTCTTCATCGTCTAACTTCCGAAGTCTTCGGCTACGAACTCGAAGGCAAATGTCCCCGGTCCTGAATTTGGCCTTCAGCTTTGTCCCTTCATCCATTGTTGGTTCGTCAAGGTACTCCTTGATCCCTTTTACATTCCGTACACTTCTATGCCCTCCTTATCCTTGATTGCTTTTCTTAGATTAATATGTTCTCTCTCGGCAAGAGCAACATATATCTTCTCCTTGAACCCTTTTAGACCCTCTGTATCCAGCGTATCGTCTTCGTCAATTTCAAGCCCTTTCCATGCGTACCCTACAACCTCGACCCACTCCGTGGGTAGTCTACCCCTCTTCTTGTTTGCCCACTTGGCCTCCCAGGCTATTCTCGGCAACCTCTCCTATCTCATACCGTACATGCGATACTGCCATGTCAGCTTCCTTGCGTCTCGTCCCGATCGTAGGGATTGGATCCCCAGTGCTGCCCTGGCGGGTGCATTATTTGTGCGCTTGGAGCATCCTAGGATGACTTTCGCTGCTTTCATCTGCGCCGCCTCGAGCTCTTTGACTACTTTCTTATTTCCTTCCGATGCTTTTCCGGCGTACTCTAGCAGCGGTACGATTACGCTCTTCTTCAAAACCGTCAATTTGATGCGTGTATCGAGGTGCCGGTTTGCGAGTATTGGGTGCAGCTTGCCTGCTCGTGCTTTGCCCTTTTCCGCTAGCTTGTACATGCGGGCATTCCACGAGCAGTCTTTTGCGATCTCTACTCCGAGGCGATGGAGGCACTGCTGTACGGCTGCATGACATGGACCCACGTCAAGACCAATACCGGACGTTGCGGACGATACACCACCGACTGCTCCTGCCAGTTATCGGTTACCAACGCAAGAAGGGCACCTACCGGCAGCTTTACTACGCCCAGACGCTAAAGAGGGTAGGGTGCCAGAGCGTGGAAACCACGATTCAGCAACGGCGCCTGCTGTTCGCGGGAGCGCTGGCAAGGCAGCCAGGCGGATGACTCCCGAAACGGGTGGTGGTTGGCGAGCTGGTCGGGGGGGAGGGCCCAGGCAGGGGGAAACCGGAGCAAAACAGGCAGGTGTGCCTGAAGGACGACCTCAAGATGTTCGAACCAGAGCACGGATCTACGGACGCCGAGCCATGCTTCTTCGGAGTCCCGGAAACAGCTTGGATGGAAGCAGCGAAGGTGGACCGGGGGGTACCGTGGCATACAGGGGTACTGCAGGGAGCTGAAAGGTTCATGACCTCCTGGCACAAGAAGGAAGAGGAGGCTAGCCGACAACGAGCGCTCAAAGGAAACAAGAAGGTCGGCAACAACACGGACACGGCAACAATCACGGGGACGGGAGGGGTAGAGCAGGCGGACGAGACGGCGAGGAAAACAGGAAACGCGAAGAGGCGGACCGAGTGACGCGAAACACGGTGCCGAATCGAACCCCTTACTTCTCTCCCCCCCCCCCCCCCCCCC